GGAATAAAAAAAAATGTAGTGAATCGTTGAATGTCACATTCCAGTAAATAAATTCAGGTGATTCAGGTTGTGAACCGAACCAAAAACAGGAAATAAAGTGTTACAATTAAGTGAGGGTTAACAAAATTGTGGAATGTAAGGAAATCATAAACAGCTTTGTATGAAGTAGGTTCTTGAGGTTATGTAGGTTATTTATACCTACACATATTATCAATATAGGTATTGTTGGTATATTATCGTGGGAGTGTTGGAATAAATTACGAAGGTAGGCGTGTTAGGAGCTATGCATTCACCACGGACTTCCTTTCTAGGGTATACCTGGTTCCCCGGCTATTAGTACCGATACTGATTAGATAGGTGGTATCCGAGGGGATTTCCGCAAGTAAAAAAAAAAAGGAGGTATGCATTATACCACAGAACTATTTAAGACTAGCTTGGCCGTGTTACCTTCCCGTTTTTGAATAATTTTTATTGATGCTCGGTTCCCATCGGTTGTAGCTCCTTTTGGTAGGCTCAAATTGTATGTTCCCAATTACAATTAATTCTTATACAGAGTGAATATTAATTTAACAAGCCTTGTTATATCACTTTCAAGGCAATAAAAGCCGGTAGAGGTATGGTTGAAGGGTGAATCCTTATAACTCTTAAGGATGATGATGCTTTCCCAGGTAGAATGGTTGACTACACTGCACTAAGTCCGCCAATGCATCAAATGTGCATGACGTGTAAAATAAATAAATAAATCCGATGTGGTCTCATGTGGTGACGGATTAAGAATACGGAATGTCACCACCCCTATTCATCCCGTGGGTGTCGTAAGAGCCGACTAAGGGAGCAAACTACGCAGGACAACAGCACTGCAAAGAGCAGGAAAACTTGAAACAAACCCTATACCAACCCGTCTGGCCAGCGTGGTATAGTTGGCCCAAACCTCCTTTCTAAGGAGAGGCCTATGTCCAGCAGTGGACTGTAATAGGCCGTGGATGATGATGACAGAGTCTCAAAAAGTTGATTAAAAAAATTACCCATACCCATGAAATAGATATTACCACATCAAATTGTTGATTATTGCTAGTTGTAATTTTCAAGGTTGTTTGTCAAAAAAGATCTCATAAAATATCACTTATCACAAACAATATTGGACAAGTGCTCTATTGATGAATCTATTTAAAGAAATCTTATCTGCTCAGGAAAATAATGCAATATTTGTTTGTTATTTAACAACTTATCTTATCTTTTCTCTTTTTACTTGCATCGTTTAGTATTATTTCCGAAAATAGGGAAAACCACAGATAAGAACAAATTATGTAAGTCAGAAAATCTAAAAATCAACGTGTTATGGCTTGAAGTTTATTTTACACAAAAAAATACGTGGGCAAAGGCAACCATAGCAAAATGCCAGGGTCAGCACTTGATTTATACTATGATTAAAAGCCTATTGTTCGTTCCTCATAACTACAGTCGTTTTAAAAGTCACAGACTACCTGCTCCACCTACAGGTCCCACTATTGCACCTTCTAATTCACTCATTAAACGGGCCCTTACTGCACTAAAACGTCTTGGTTCCAAATCCAGACTATGAATTGTTTCAGTAAAGCCACATATGTTAGAATCTGCAGTTTCTTTTAAACTATCTTCATAATAAAAAAAATGGAAGTTAAAACAACCATATCGAAATGCCAGGGTTAAGAGTTTGTTTTACACTATAATTTTGATGACATGACATTATATAATTAGGCAAAAATAACATATCAAAATGCCTAAATCTACAATAGATAATAAAAAGAAAGAAGCGGCAATGAATATTTGGATACTAATGATCATATCGTTTAGTTAACTGAAGAGAAATACAGCTTTTAAGCACGCTACAATAAAACACACCTAAACAGATTTAGAAAAAAAACCGTGTGGTGACGGATTAAAAATACAGAGTGTCACCACCCCTATTCACCCCGTGGGTGTCGTAAGAGCCGACTAAGGGAGAAAACTATGCAGAACAACAGCACTGCAGAGAGAAAACGAAAGAAAACTTGACACAAACCCTATACCAACCCGTCTGGCCAGCGTGGTATAGTAGGCCAAAACCTCCTTTCTAAGGAGAGGCTTATGCATAGCAGACTATTAAAATACTATCATCAACAGAATTTTATATGGACGACTCAGCTCCACATTTTTACCACACTTTTGTGGTCCCGTAACCACATTTTTACCAAATTTTTGTATGAACTTCAAATATTTGTTTCGGAGTTTGGGGGTTTTCTATGTATAATATGTATGTATTTACAAAATAAAAGTATATAAGTATTCTATTAGGCGTTGTGTGTTAGATGTCCGAAAAAATTATTATTTTATTTACAGAGGTATCCACACAATAATAATTTGCAACAAGATTCATGTCAGAGCTCAATGAATTATTATATTTTATAGGCACAAGTGTCGAGTTTTACGATGACATACAGCAGTAATACATACATACTGTATTGTTTCTTGTTAATCCACGTGTACATATAATAATAGCGTTAATGGTACAAAAACCAACAATCATTTAGTGTCTTACTAAATTACAACTGAATTTTTTATATTTTGCCTGAATTATATAAGTTTTTTCTCTTTTTTTCTTCAAATTACGGTCTTGTGTCAACTAGGTTGAATTTCAGTACGTTTGAGCAATTCTGATTAAGACAGTTCAGTTTACTTAAGACTCATCATGTTTTTGTGTCTGTGGTTTGTGTTTATACTTTATTTTTATCGCCCAGTATTCATACTTTACTTGGATTTTTTATATTTTGAACGCCTGTAATGTACTTCTTATTAATTTGTTTTCGAGTTCCAAGACAGTTTAAATTTTTCTGGGACTGCCCAAGTGTTATTACTCGGTTTGTGCGTGAGTCACTTCTGTTAAGTCTGGTGTACGGGCAGGAGTTACAATACTATCGCTTGTTGATATACAAAACTATAGAATGATTTGAAAGATGCTTTAAAGTTTAAAGCATCTTTCAAATCTATGAACCGTATAAACATTTAGGGCACAAACTATTATATATATGCTGTCAGTTGACCATAATATATATAAAATTTGTTCTTAAACCAATGTCGATTTAAAGATTGCCTAGAAAAAATAATAAGCAATTTGTGATGTCGTAGCTCGTTTTCTTCTAAATAATATTACTCAAGTGGTTACTTTAGAGCAACCATGCGTTATAATAAATACCTATTACCTACAATACAACTTCCGAATCTATGAACACAAGTTTCTGTTAAATGCTTGTTTATTAGCAAGGAAATTTCTAACGACAAATAATTGTTAGACAAGGCTGTTTTGTAAATATATGAAGAAGCTTATTAAAATATATGTATGTAGTATATATATAAGCACGTTAAATTTCTGGTGAGCCTTATTTACAATAATATAACTGTTAAATAGTTCTAGTTGATATTAATTATTTTATTGTGATCACAGATGGTAAGGTAGCAAACTACGCAGGACAACAGCACTGCTATGAGAAGAAACAAACCCAACACCAACCCGTCTGGCCAGCGTGGAATAGCAGGTCAAAACCTCCTTTGTAAGGAGAGGCCTGTGTCCAACAGTGAACTATTAGAGGCTGTTGATGATGATGGTATTGTGAAACTAAAAAAAACATGTTCTAATGACGATAAAGTATTTATGTTGCAGGAATAAAATAAATAGGTGTATTAAGAAATAAAGACACGTTGAATAAATATTTGTAGGATAAACAAATATATCGATTGATATTATTCGTGTCACAGATAGATAAAGCGAGGAAAGTTTTCAAGTGCTGTCTTGGTAGGCGTTAGGCGTCCATACATACATACATCGCATATGTGTCTATATTTAAACAGCTGTTTAAATTTTCACTAAATTTTTTACCAATGAACCAATACAATAGGATACAAATAAATAGATAAATTTTGGTATAATATTAATAAAGAAATTTAAAAAAATAGTGGTATGTATATTCCTATTTAGGTATGACGTTATTATTAAAATAAGATACCCACATTTATTGTATAATAATAATGAGCGGGGCAATGTTTTCAATTAATATTGTCAATATAAGAGAGATAAATATAATAAATAGGTAAATTTAAAAAAATAGGTGTTATAAATTTTAAAACTATGTGGAAACCTCTTCATCAAGCTACATGCGTCTAATATTTATGTAATGCCCTTAACAGGAAAAAGGTAATAAAAAGTTTTTACAACAATATAGTAAGGTTTAGATTTAATAAAATATGAGTACCAAATTTTAAAACTAATAAGAAACCGCTTCATCAAGCTACATGCGTAATGCCCTTAACAGGAAAAAGGGAATAAAAAGTTTTTACAACAATATATTAAGGCTTGGAATATAATAAGTGCCTTGAAGTGCTCTTCAAGGCACTTACAATATTCTAAGCGTTAACTCGTCGGTCCCGGTTGTCAGACGAACATCTCGATGGCATGGCGTAGTGGTTTAAGCGGTCGCCACGCCTCTCCCTACTACGGCGAGTGTTGTTCAAACCTCACATGGGACGATACTCTGTGTGATCCACAAATTGTTGTTCTGAGTCTGGGTGTTCTTTGTGTCCGTTTCATGTATGTTTGTAAAGTCCCCCGCGACACAGGATATATTCCTAATGCGGGAGTTGTATTTAAAAAAGAAAAAAAGAAACGTTACGGATATTTGGAGTTCTGAAAAGTCCGACAACAGTCTATCTATTTCCAAGAGCTTTTTTCTTTCCTGGGATTTCCTAAGTGTCATAACTCAGTGTGTTCGTGGGTCACTGCTGTCGTACCTGGTGTACAGGAGTTACAAGTCTACAGAACTTCGAAATCGCCTAGTACTTGGGTTTTAGAGGTCTGATGGCACTCATTCCACGTAAAAATCGGAGTTCAGGTTGTACTGGACTGAAAGCCGATCGGCTCAACTAATTTGGGAATAGGCTCGGAGGATGATGACAATAAGTCTTTATATTGAGGCTAAGGCTATCCTTACCTGGTTGGTAGTAAGATCCCACTGGTCCGCCACGAACGAGTCCCTGCTGTACAGGAACACCGGGACTTGGTGATCTTTGACCGGAGAAGGGTCACCGTTCACCCTTACCACTGTTAGATGTGTTGTCGTCGTGCCCACTGTTGGACAAATAAATCTAATAAATATGAAGACTTCTTTAGGCGCGTTGGGCATTTTTTAACAACAAACAAAATAATGTATTTTTTTTTAAATGGGAAAAAACATTGAAAGAAACGAGATTTAAAAAATCGATACTTAGATACGATTTGCATATGAATGATGTCACGCGTAGGTAACGTTCTGGTTTTATAGAATTAGTTTTTAAATTGCTCTTCACGCTTAAACCGCTGAAACGATTTAGATGAAATTTGGTATGGAGATAGTCCGAATCCCGGGAAAGGACAAAGGGTAGATTTTATCCCAGAAATCATCATTTAAGGGAGTGAAAAGTGGGGTGGAAGTTTGTATGGGAAATCAATAACCAATAAACCGATTTACATGAAATTTGGTATGGCGATACTTTGATTCTTGAGGAAAGACAAATATAGCTAGTTTTTATGTAGTTTTTTCCAGTGAACGATTACCTATAGATTCACTAATATCTACGTTCAGAAGTAGATAAGTAATAAGTGAATCTATAATTGCGTTACCTTTAACCTTTCCCTAAAATAAAAAACTACTTGACCTGCCTAACTTCGTCTGTGTCTTAAAAGGAATATATTTTCCCGTTTTTGCATCATTTTTCATTGATGCTCGGCTCCTATTTGTGGTAGCGTAATGTTATATGACCTTCCTTGATAAACGGGCTATCTAAAACTGAAAGATTTTTTAATTCGAACCAGTAGTTTCTGAGATTAGCGCATTTAACCAAACAAACAAAGTCTTCAGCTTCACGGGTAATATTGGTATAGACTTAGATTATTAATATGTCTAATCAAAGGGCATAGATATGTTCGTCCCTTTAATTCGCCGCAGAATGAAGACAGTGATCACAGACAACACGGGGGAGGAAATAGCAAGGAATATCCAGTAATATCATAACTATCTCAACAGTATTACAGGCAGTAATTCGATTCCAACGATAACATTATTATGACCACAGACATATCTTTTTTGACACTGTCACTTCCGGAGTAGTAGTGCCTAATGGAGGCAAGCTTATTGCTGACAATCGACCAGTTTAGGAATTAAATGGGAAAATTAAGAGTACGAAAACTTGAGTAAATTGACAATTAAAGAAGGGTCAATAAGGGTTTTTCCCCAACTTTATTATCATTATGAATAATAATTTCATGATTCATGATTAATGATAAATACGTCAAATACTGACTTCTGGGCCATCAATAGTACCTATGCAGAAATGAGGTTATCAGTAGTCATCGATAATTGTTCGTATATAATTAATAATTTTACCTTCAAATTGCTTCTTGATAAACATTTTTTTTCATTTAAAAAAATTTAAAACTCCCTGATAAAAAAATGTTTACTCTTGCAAAACGCATATATTCATTTTATACTTTTATCTGTAAAAAAAGTTACCTACATGGATACTTTATGATAATATCAGTTTAACATTGCTATTCGCATTTTAAATAGCAAGCGACCGTGAATTGAAACAATGAGAGAAAACTAAGTGGGAACAAAAACTCACTTGGGAATAAAAAACTCACTGGGTAACTAAGTGCACTCACGGTAGTGATGTGTGCCTAGCAATCGATGCGATCATCTTTAATCGAATTAGGAAAATTCGACTTCTTGACATGGCAGTTTTAATTACATATATATATTTTTTACACTTTTCTGCATATGAAATATTGTATTGTTTACTGATGAAAGCACTAAGGGATAATAAATTTAATGCTTACCAACAGTAAATTATAAAATTAACGAAAATATTGCTTCATCAAATTGTTATTGTTGATGTTATTAATAAATGTTTTAGTTTTATTCTATTAATGATGATAAGGTAGAAAAAAACACCAGGACCTGCCTCCTGGAAAACGGTCATCTTAGTCTATGCCACTAGCAAATGACGTGTTGCCGACATCAAAATATTTATATAGGTACGTTTTATTTAAAGCAATTAAGTTATTATTATTTTACAATTTGAAAATTGATTTATAATAATTTAATTCATAATAATATTGAATAATATAATTGAAGTTATCTTATTATTATTTTGTTACATTAAATGTAAATAGAACACAACATTTGAAAAATCGACTAAACCATCAACTTTCACTACAAGCTAGAAATTGAATTAACTTGTTTTAAGGATGTTCTTGCTATTGTAAATCTAGATATTTTTTTACGGTGAGACTATTGTCTGTGCCAAACCCCTCTCCACAGCGGTAGTATTGACGCCTTCTCGCGTGATGTTATTTACTGTATATTAAGCTGAATGCCACATTATCATACTTGTAATTATTTAATCAGTGAAAAATGTATCAGCATTTTATAATCGTTTCCTTAGCGTGATGTATTTACTTTTAACCTGTAGTGTTGCGTACCCCGAAGGCTACATTAAAATACAATAATAAAGTGCGATACATACTTTTGGCGCCTTTATGACAGTGACATATGGGCTTCAAAGTGACGTTTATATTTTTATTTCCAGACAAATTCTACTTTTTAATTTTTCTCTAATGATTTTCATTAAACTGTTATTTTTGTTATGAAATAGGTACATTCGTACGTTACATTCATTTATGAAATTTATAAAATTATTTGTTTGGAAAATACTTTATCTATCAATTAATCAGATTTGTCAGATGAAGAATAGGATAAATTTTTATTATTTATTTAAGCATTTTTTTGTAAAATTGTTAGCAGTTTAAGTTATTTTTCTACCTGGTCTAAATTTCATTTGGATTTGTGTAGTGTGTTTTCCTCTTTCATTCTAATTTATCATTCGTCATAGCACTGCTTACTCCTTTTTAGAGAACCTTGAGTATAACCTTACGAGTATAAGTTCTACAATAAAAGAAAACATTTGATGTTGAAAATAAACACATTTAATTGTCTGTTGACTATATTTGAAGCTAGAAATAATTTAAATTAGTGTTTGTCTAATAGATGTGTCAGATAACTAGTGTTTTATTTTACTTATTGACAACATAATTACAACAAATTGTCACAGTTTCCGCTTTTAATTATAATTATACTTTTATTTATTGCTATCGCAATGAGTGACGTGAAAGTTAGGAAAGGAGATCTACTATTTATCGCAACATGCATTTATTGCGCACGCAAGCCTTAGGTACTTAGTGGTACACTGACTGGACTTTTGGACTTTAGGTCTACGCTAAACCATGTCCACTGATTCGAATTCATTCCAGAGGAATTATAATGATAAACATAAGTAAACATCTTTAAACAAGATGATAGGTAAACATCTTTGAACAAGGAATAAGCAATAATTATAGTAAAGAAAATATTCTGGCAATCTTCAAACTTAAATAGATTATTTCTATCTCTAAATAATTGGATGGTTCGCATTGGCGCCACTTCGGCTTCGTCACTCTTCTAAGAAGCAGCTATGATTCTCCAATCATAAAGAAATTATTTTTTCATGGTCGATTAAAGAACCTAAATAATAAAATAATTGGGGCATATTCTTTATTTAACAAATTCTATAAGTAGCCGTAGTAGTAGTAGTAGATGTTGTAAGACTAGAATCGACTAAGGGAGCAAACTAGGCAGGACAACAGCACTGCAAAGAGAAACAAACCCTATATCAACCTGTCTGGCCAGCGTGTTATAATAGGCCAAAATCTCCTTGATGAATCTCGTTAATGATAGGTAAACCTACAATGCCAATTCTTATTTTAGTTCCTCTTTAACTAGTCAAAGGACACGTGGAGAAAAAGACCAACTTCTCTCTTAGTAGACGGTTAAAAGGAAACCAAAACGACTCTCCAAAGAGGAAAGATCATGAAAGGCATTTCAAATTCCATTAACTGAATCTCCGAGGGGGGAGGCCGAGCCATATGAAATACCCCACCCGTCATCCCACTCAGGTAATTGGGGTCAAGTTTATGTCCATAAGGTGGACAATTTTTTTTAAGAGTACATTTCTTTTTCTTTTTAAAATAGACAACTCCTGCACTAGGAATATACCCTACGTTGCGTGAGACTTTACATACATTAATGAAACGGACTCAAAGGCTCAGGCTCAGAGCAATAATTTGTCTATCACAAAAAGTGTTGTCCCACGTAGGGATCGAACCCACAACAATCAGCGCAATAGTAAACGGCGAGGTGGCCGCTTAAACCACTACGTCACCCGTGCGCAGTTGTGGAAATAAGGTATGATAGGAAAAGGATATTGCTTATAATGGGAATTGGGGACTGTGAGCAATAGTCCAAGACTTCTAGCCATCATCTTCATGCGTACGCATAATCAATTAGACAATTTTAAAATTCATGAGGGTATGTATACAATGAGAGTTTGTGCTCAGTTGAAACGGTTCCCAAAGCTGATTATAGTTCAAGGACTGTTCAACAGAATCGTTTCTTTCTTTCGTTGCTAAGCGGAGCTGATACATTTTATTCACGGTGTTTATACCTTGCGGACGTTACGCCATTAGAGTACGTGACATCCGGAGATAAAATTCCATTATCCGCTTACAAATTTATTCCTAAGTATTATAAGGATATTTCTGTAGGTCGTGACCAATAACTAATAATATAGGCAGTCAACCTTGGCGTTATTAAGAAATTAAAACAGAATCGTTAACTATTTCAATTTGATGTCATCTTCCCAACAACAGCCTGTTCAAGTTTGAACTTGAAACTGTCTGTCATGTTTGAAGTTTTACTTACTTAAAATTAAATTCTTAACTTCCCTTCTTTACTATTGTTCTCTTGTAATAATACTTTATAAGTTTCAAGTGTTAAATTCCCTGATGTTCCTGGTCGACGGACAGGTGCCTTTTATCAGGCGCGGTCTGAATCGGGGTCACAGTTGACATGACCATCCGCCCGCAAATCGTTCACGTCAAATAGAAAAAAACTTAAAAAAAACTATTTTCTGACAGTCCCTTCCTACAAGCGGTGCGAAGTTAAAGAGATCATTTTAAAAACTTGTGTAAAAACTTGGTGGCAAGCCAAACATGTT